CATTTTTAGCTGTACGGATGTCGCCGTCCTGGTGCTCCTAGGGCGTTTGCCTGAGCTCTGTTCGTGTCTTTTTTTTGGTCGGCAGCCGCAGTTGTAGTCTCGCCCCGGCTGCTGTCAGTCTCGGGCGCGGGTTTGTTTTGTTGGCGGACCGCTGAGTTGGAGCTCAGGTTTCTGTCGCAAAGTGGTCTCTGGTTATCGGCTGCTCAATTTTGTTTGCCACCAGTGGGTTTGGAGTAGGGAGAAGTGGTAAGGTACCTCATCGAAAGCCCGCCAGGACTCGGGGGAGGGGGGCCAGTAGAAACAATGTCCAAAATATGTCGAGACCCAAAGGTTGTGGGGAAGGGAAGTGTCAGAGCCTAGATTGTGACGCGCTCCGAGTCGCGGCGATATGGGGTAATTGGGAGCTTTGTTGCCTGTTTACTACGAGGACGAATTTAGAACTGGGCACCAAGGCAACCACGGCACCCCGCATTTTCTGTCAAACAACCCCGCCATTCAGGGGTTGGAAATTTCAACCCTAACCCTCTATCAGTCACTTGTACGAGTGACAGCTTTTGAGGCGGTGTTTGTTCCTGGCAGGCAGTGGCAGGTAACCTCAGTGTCAAAAATCGACTGATCTTGCAGCTTGAGAACATGAAATCCGCAAAGCGGTGTTTGGTAGGCGAAACCTCATGGTTTAGAAAGATAAGGCGCACGCTCGGCAGCCATGTTTCCCCCTCCAACGGATTACGTCTTTGTAACTTTGTCAATACCAAGGCATCTGATGATATTCAGTTGGCCTTGGAAAATGGCCATTATGGTTCGAAGAATAGTTGAAAGGGCACGTTCTATATTTTCAAAAGCCCTGGCTCCATGTCGGAGTCTCTGCTTTTACTGTTCATAACGGCTAGGTAACCTTCGTGCCTACCAAGTTCAGTTCTCTTATGAGCAACTGAGGAAGCCATATTCCTACATAGGAGACAACCATGGGAGATGGGTTCAGGGCCCGCGGCGTTTGGAAGAAATGGTTTCGTTTGTCCGAAAGGATATTGGAGCGTTGAGCTGGGCGGTTAAGGTGACAAGAAGAGGAAAATGCCATAAGATGGAATCTAGAACAAGCAGCTATCAGAATAAAAAATAGGAAAGAAAGAATACTAGAGTATAATGCCAAGAGAAAAGTGAAGGTTTCTATCTACAAACTCTATCCCCCCCCCCCCTCACCGCCGTGAGTTGTGCTTTTGTGAACTGCGAAATGTCTCTGAAAAGTTAGGTGCTCCTTGCATTTCATGTATCTTCCTGAGCCTGTCATAATTGTAAAACATGTGTAAAAGGATTGGTGGTCAACAGGGTCTCTTGAGCAACGAGATGTGGTTGTAGCAGACGAAGAGCCGTAAGATTGGGGGTACCGTGCCCAGCCGGCGTCAAGTATTTATGAGAGGTTGCCTGCCCTAGCAGCAAGAGAAGAAGTCGTCTATCACGGTTAAAATTGATTGCGAAACATCATAGGTAGGACTCACGCTGGCCATACCAATGAGGCCAGCAGAACATCGGCCTCCTGCTTAACGAGGTGTATGTATTAGATCTGCCATATACTTCTCAACAGCCCCAGTACCCTCGCACAACACCCTCATGGTCAAGTAGTAAGGTTATTGGCGCTGCCACCTACCCACCCCTCAAAGCCCCGAGTTCGATTCGAAGTAAAACGCGAGGGTTTTCGTAGCCAGGTCACCTTCCTCAGAATAATGTTGGGGTTGCCTGGTGAGCTTGGCTGTTTCGTTGATCTTCCAAAGATCGACTACCTTACGTCTTGATCCTTTACTTTTGCTCAGCCGTCTACCTATGTGTCTATTTTGCCGGTTTTATCGAATCGACGCAAGAGAGAATGGGGAGAGTTATCAAAGAGGAACAAAAAGCAAGTCTTGTAAAGGTAGATGGAAAGAGCAATAGTCAGTTTTCCATACTTTGCGGTGCAACCTATTTGTAGAAAATGGATCACCTCCACTTCTCATTCAGCAATTCACCGCTGTCATGTCTTATGTAGTAATCGTGCTTTGTATTTCATCTACCTACCCGTCCTTTTAACCCCCAACTCCTTCCCAGGCTCCGACTCGACATCCCCATCATCATACGGATCAAACCCCATCCTCCTCTTTGCCTGATCCTTTATCCTCCGCGCCATCTCACCCGCATAGCCAGTGGTGGTGGTGTTTTGCAAGAAATGCATCGTAAAGTCATCCGGGATCGCCAAGTGGGAGACCTGCTGGGACTCTTGGAGGCTCGTGAGCCGTATCAGCATCTCCAGCAGCGACAGGGAAGACGTGACGGCGTCAAACGGAGACCTTGGCATATCTTGTTGTTGTGATGATGGGTTTCTTCTCTCAATGTCGCGACTTGTTTGGCGGATGGGAGACCCGGCAGGGGAGTCAGAGTGGAGTGAGATTTGTCTAAACTGCCGCATCAGGTTGGTGTCGGCCGAGAGGCTGTTGTTGGCAAGGTGGTGGTTGTCGGCTGAGAAACCTCTTTGGGGCGAGCCAATACTGCTGTCTTCTTCGTCTGCTGTCTCTGAGCCCGAATCATCGCCGTCATCGTCCATGTAGACCTCCAGAGCCAACCACTCCGGGTCAAGGTGAGGCGGTAAATTCGTCGAGTTTGGGTGATTTTGACCGTCAGACCGATCTGGTGACAGATGGCTCTCTTCCCACAACTGACGATCAATCTCGTCTTGGTCGTCAGACTCGTCATCCGAATACCCATGGTTGACGATGCCTGACTGAGCAGACGCTTGCTGCGGCATTTCGTGCGGGGAGACCATGCTGAGGTCTCGTTTCAGCAACAAGACTGGATTGTTGTATCCATTCTCTGCGTCGCCGATGTTGAGTATGACCCCGGTGTCTGTGTAGAAGATCTTGGAGAACTGATGGATCGGTATGGCCTCGCGAATGCCTGCCATCCTTACACCCTCAAACTCCTTAGGCTTGAAGCCATGTTCCTTGTCGTCGTGCATACGTCCATCGTCCAGATCTTCAATGATCTCCAAGTGGTAACTGTATCCATTGGCCGGTCCATTAAACCCTGCCTTGTGGTTATGGCCATTCAGGGTGCAGTACCCATGCAGGGAATCAAATGTACAGCCCATGGGTGTCCGCAAGAGACGTACCCTGGCCTTGTGCATGACTTCTTGCCAGATTGGCTTCCTGTCGGACTCTCCTATCCCGTAGGGAACCTCATTTGAGTTTTCTGTGCCATTTCCCCCATCGGCTGATCTACTTCCTGAGGATTCGACAAGTTGTAGGGCCGAAGGCGAGCCATTCTTGGCCACGTTTCCATTTCGCTCCTGGTGCTTATCGTTCTGTGTTTCAACTTGGGAGTGGCCGACAAAGAGCATGTACAAGGTCAGTGTGAACGACGGGCCAACCTGAATCGGCTGCGTCCCGTTAAAGTGCAAATCCCCAAAAGAAACCAAGGTGCTAGCTTGCATGAGTCTCGATGGAGAAAAGGTAGCTTCGCGAGGGTTCATGGGCGTCGACATATTCTCACCAGAGGCAGTGATGGCCAACTGGATGAAGGGAATATCTCGGTCGATCCTGTCCAGTAGGCGTTTGATATCGCTGAGTATCATGGTCAGTTCGGCATGGTGAGCCTCTGTCATCCGAGGACGGCGGCCGTCCCCAGAGGCTTCCTCCTCGGCGGCGGCATTCTGAAGACGCTTCCCAAGACGGACAATCTCTCGGTGTAAGGAAGATGCTAATGGTTGGGCTGCATCGAGAAATGAGTTTCCACGGCCAGACCTGGCGATAGGGTGTTAGTGAGGGCAGTGACTCCTCGAGTAAGGGAGGATCTCTTGGCTGACGTACTTGAGAAGGATCAGGTCGATGGCAGGGGACACAATCTGTGAGTCGAATATCAGTCAAACTAGTCTTGTGTAACAGAGAGATAGAGAGAGAGGTGCCTGGGAGATCCAACCTTGATTTTTGTGCTGAGGAGCTTTTGCAGAGATTTGAGCTCTGCATAGACCGGTTTATCATCGACCGTTTTGAGCAGGCGGGTGCATTGCTGGACGGCATACTTGGACGTGAGGGCAATCCCGGATTTGATGGCGAAGTTGACCGTCTGGTATCCGAGGTTGGCTAAAAGTGCGTCCATCGTCTCTCACTGTCCATTGCTTCATTTGAAAGAAGTAAACATTAATTATTTCTATGGCTGCTACTAGACTCGATCCATGCTCTGGTCAGGCAGAACTCCAGAAGGCCCCCGTCAGGCAGCTTGTTTTACTCTTCTGGCTGCGGTGAACCGTCTGCCGCTTAGAATTGTTGTTTAGTCGCACTGTGCGGATGTTGTTGGAACAGCCCCCTGTAACCAGTTCCGATCTTTGTGGATAAGGCCCAGGAACCGCAAGGACAATGCCGATAAGAGTGGGGCTAACAGTGCGAGCGATCAGCCATCTCACTGTCCACCTAACTCGAACCCTCTTCCCCGCCGTGGCCGCCACAATCAACCAGGCAATGGTGGGGCAGCGACCAGCAAATCTTCCCGACTTCTTCTCCTTCGATCACCTGAAGAAGCCTTCTTGACTCACAGGTGTCCCATCAGGTACGGCGCAAGCCCATTTTGTTCCCGAGAAGACTCATCAGAGAATCCAGAAGCTAACTCGGTTCTAGTCACGAGGCGTTGTCGCAGAGCCCAGCGCAGTCCGAATTCGCATTTTGTCGCATTTTTAAAAAAAAGTTGGCGCCCGCGACCCCGCCAATCTCCCTAGACACCACGAGACCCAGAAGCCCTTTCGTAGAACACCGCTGAACCACGGTCAAAATGTCCAACAACGTTCAAGAATCGTGGGAGGATGATGCCTCCGCCCACGACGAGAACCTGGCGCGCCAGACTCAGCAAATGAACCTCAACCAGCAGGGTGGTTTCCGCCCCGGTGCTGCCTCTTTCCAGCCAACAGCCCAGACCTTCCAGCCTGGCCAGGGCTACGGTGGTTACAACCAGTATAACCAGCAGCAGCAATACTATGGCGGCCAAGGCCAGGGCTACTATGGTCAATATGGCCAGCAAGGGCAAGGCTACGGGCAGGGGTACGGTGGTGTTTACGGTCAAAACCAGGGCGGCTACAACCAGGGACAAGGTTACGGTCAATGGCAAGGCTACCAGCAGCAACAGCAGCAACAACAATACCAGTACCAGCCTCAGCAACAGCAGAACCAGCAACAGGCCCCCAAGCCTACTCCCACCATCGTAAAGAGGCCAGCTCAGCCAGCCCTGGGCGAAGCTTCCAAGCCAGCGCCCGCCAAGGACATTGGTGCAAAGGTATTGAGCATTGGAGGCGACGCGAAGCCCAAGGCCAAGGTACTCTCGATCGGCAACCCTGCGCCCGCTAAAGACGAGGCGCCCAAGGCCAAGGTGCTTTCGATTGGCAACCCTGCGCCCGCGAAGGAGGAGCCCAAGACGGAGGAGACGAAGAAGCAGGAGGCGAAGAATGAGGGCACCGCCCAGGCGGCTCAGAAGGTTGCTGCGGCCAAGGCGGTAGAGAAGACAGATTCTCAGGCGGCTAGCGGAAAGACTTCGCCAGCTCCCTCTTCTGGCCGTTCCAGCCCGTCCCGCGCCGCGGCCGCCAAGGCTGCTGCTCGCGACGCCGATGCTGTCGAGAAGGAGCAGAGCGCCGATGTCGATGACGAGACTCTCAAGGAAGTCTACGGAAAGGAGCACGTCAACATCATCTTCATCGGTCACGTCGATGCTGGCAAGAGTACTCTTGGTGGTGCCATTCTCTACGTCACCGGCATGGTTGACCAGAGAACACTCGACAAGTATAAGAGAGACGCCAAGGAGATGGGCCGTGAGACCTGGTATCTCTCCTGGGCTCTTGATCTGACCAACGAGGAACGTTCCAAGGGCAAGACCGTCGAGGTTGGCCGTGGTTTCTTCGAGACAGACAAGCGCAGATACAGTATCTTGGATGCTCCCGGCCACAAGACCTATGTCCCCAACATGATCGGTGGTGCTTCGCAGGCCGATGTTGGTATTCTCGTCATTTCTGCCCGCAAGGGTGAGTACGAGACCGGTTTCGAGAAGGGCGGTCAGACCAGAGAGCACGCCATGTTGGCCAAGACTCAGGGTGTGAACAAGCTCATTGTTGCCATCAACAAGATGGACGACCCTACTGTCAACTGGTCCCACGAGCGTTACCTCGAGTGCACCACCAAGCTCCAGCAATTCTTGAAGGGCACTGGCTACAACCTTAAGACGGATGTCTTCTTCATGCCCATTGCTGCTCAGCAGACCATGGGTATCAAGGACCGCGTGCCGAAGGACGTCTGCCCCTGGTATGACGGGCCCTCGCTTCTCGAGTACCTTGATGACATGAAGGCTCTGGAGCGCAAGATCAACGCGCCTTTCATGATGGCCGTTGCCGGCAAGTACCGTGACATGGGCACCATGATCGAGGGTAAGATCGAGGCCGGTGTGGTCAAGAAGGGCTTGAGCGTCATCATGATGCCCAACAAGCAGTCGGTCGACATTGCGGCCGTATACGGCGAGACGGAAGACGAAGTGAACCTCGCCCAGTGCGGTGACCAGGTTCGTCTCCGTCTCCGCGGCATTGAAGAGGAAGAGATCATGCCCGGTTTCGTCCTCTGCTCGCCCAAGCGCTTGGTGCACAACGTTGCCCAGTTCGAGGCCCAGATCCGCATTCTTGACCTCAAGAGCATTCTCACTGCCGGCTTCAACTGTGTGCTGCACGTCCACGCTGCCATTGAGGAGGTCACTTTTGCGGCTCTGCTGCACAAGTTGCAGAAGGGTACCAACAGGAAGAGCAAGCTGCCGCCATCCCATGCCAAGAAGGGTGACAGCATCATTGCGCGTCTGCAGGTGACTGGCGGTGCTGGGTCGGTGTGCGTGGAGAGGTTTGAGGATTACCCCCAGATGGGTCGTTTCACTCTGCGTGATCAGGTATGTTTTTGAGCCCTTCTGATTATACGGTGTTTAACCGTCGCTGATATGTCTATAGGGTCAAACCATTGCCATTGGCAAGATCACCAAGCTCATTACTGAGGATACTGCTTAAACTGGGAACGAAAAGAAAAATACGGATGAATCCTGTCTTGTTGTGAGCAGGGCGTAGTGGATGCTGGTTTTGGGTTCAAGTGGTATCCTCTATGAATTATGTCAAGGCTAGCTTCTATGATAGATTTGGCCTTTTGCTTTTTTTTTGTTTTGGGGAATGCGAAAATTGCTTTTGTTTGATCATATATGCTCAACTGTGTGCGAGACTGCTGCATGTTTTTTATGAAGGGATATAGACGGGCATACGGGATAGGGATAGGGATCTAGCGTGGAGGACGAAGCAGGGGTTGTTCCGTTGGTATGATGGTATTGATGATTAATGCTAAGGATGTCGATACAGCTGGAGGGTTGTTACATGTTAGGGTTACAGAGATATATAAGGCAGGCAATATGAATTCTTTTCTTCTAATGCACTTTGTTGAGTGGCCATCGTGAAGAGCGCGGGGCAATGGTGTGTATGTGAGGTATGTTTGAAGGCGAGGCTCGTCCCATCTCGGGTGTGGACTCGGGGTGCTTGTGCATTGCATACTGATGACTACACTTAAGGGAAAAAGTGGCAAGAGGATTGGAAATCAGAAATTGATCCCTGAGGTTTTTGAAAAGGAGAACGGAAAAGGGGAACCGGAAGGTGTGTGAGTCACTAGGATAAATAGATATCTGCCTGCCTGGTTTGGACTGGAGGCAGGCATGACGGTAGGACTTGAACCCCGCTTGGCGAACCTCATCGTCCATCAATATCTCAACTTGACGTTTGTTTTCATGACACTTTTGTTTGTGGACTTTACTTACATTCAAAAGCTCATAGATTATCATTTCACAATGTCAACCACCACACCACCCCCAGCTCCGGCGGCCCCAGCAGCAACAACGGCACCGAATGCCGCTGCCGCCGCCAACCCAGACCCAGTATCCCAACTCTTCTCCGTCAAAGGCATCGTAGCCCTCATCACAGGAGGCGGCACCGGTATCCTACCTATCTCCACCCTCCCTTACTCATGCGACCATGTATTAACCAACCCTCATAGGAATCGGCCTCATCCTCACCCGCACCCTCGCCCTCGGGGGCGCATCAAGGATCTACATCCTCGGCCGCCGGCTTCCCGTTCTTCAATCCGCCGCGACGTCTGTCAACGCCCTCGTCGGCAAGAACGTAGTAATCCCTCTATACTGCGACATCACCTCCCGCATCTCCATCTCGTCCACCGTTTCCGTCATCTCCTCCGACCTAGGCTACATCAACCTCCTGATCTGCAACGCTGGCATCGGCGGCCCGCAAGTCCACCTTTCTTCCACCACCCCGAACTCCCTGGAAGAGTTCCAACAACAGCAGATGGACACCGTGGCTGGCTGGGAGGAAACAATGAGGGCAAACGTGACAGGGGTATGGTTCACGGCCATGGGGTTCTTGTCGCTGTTGGAAAAAGGGAATCATACGGAATGGGGAAAGGGGGGTGTGAGCTCTCAGGTTATTGTTGTGAGTTCAATTGCTGGGTTTAATAAAAAGGCACCCGGGGGTTGGGCGTATGGGGCGAGCAAGGCGGCGGCTACGCATGTGGGTAAGATGTTGAGTGGGTTGGTCACTGAGTGGGGGATGAGGGCCAATGTTGTTTGTCCGGGGTGTGAGTTTTACCTTGGCCACCTGGTGTTGGGGAGATTGGGCCGCTGACAGGAAATAGTGTTCCCGAGTGAGATGGCGGCGCCGATTGTGGAAGCGGCTGGGGGGTCGATGACGGGGGGTGGGGTGATTCCCCTGGATAAGAGCGTTGTTCCTTTGGGGAGGATGGGAGATGAGAAAGATATGGCGGGGCAGATTTTGTATTTGGCTTCGAGGGCGGGGGCGTATTGTAATGGGAATGTGGTTTTGGTTGATGGGGGGAGGTTGGGGACTTTTCCCAGTGCTGGGTATTAGGGGGGATACCTCGGGGGGTGTCGTGGGTGCATGTTGATAGAACTCTGGGGTATATATGTGGGTAGGTAGGTGATGGTGGTGGGAGCGTATATTGTCATGAGAAGACTAGATGGTGGGACTCTGCTTGAATTGGTCTCAAAAACTGTCTTTCAAAGCCTTGCCCCCAAATCTGTAGTTGAGGTATGTGGTTCAAGCTCGCTGTTACACAACTCAGGTGATGAGCAAAGCAAGATAGTGAGAATATGTCTCAACGTCTTTACATATGCACAGTTTTCCACACAGCTTTCACGCCCCGCCCTCCCCTCGAAGACACCAACGTCAGCCCTACGGCTACACAGCCCAATCAAGATAGGGGTTCGCATGTAACTTGGGTGATGTCGTGGACCCCTGAACCCTTGATCTTCTTCCCTCCCGTCAGATCTCCGCTCCCGTTCTATCCCCGCCCTGCCCGGCTGGCCGGACACCTACCCATCACCGGCATAATCGGACACCCGGTGACGAATCTTGTGCCTCTTTTTGGGTACTGCTGTGTGGTGTAGATGTACTAAATACCTACTCATATAACTGTTGAGAATTGTACCCGCCGAAGAAGCCTCACCTCTCAGGGGGGGGAAATGTAGTCCGGTAGCACAAGCTTTTCAGAGTTCCTTTTTTTTATGCATATTTTGGTAGGGGTTTTTTTTTTTCTTGGGCCGGAGCCCGGAGCTGACGAGAGACATTCATAGTCTTGATGTATATACTCCCCAATGTTCAACATCACTCAGGGTGGGCTGTCCGGGAAGTTCGGTCTAGAGGTCCGGTCGCGGTGGTTTGTTCTGTTGAACCTCTCATCTTAGCCATCACAATACAATTCCCGGTGTTATTTTTTTGTTGAAGATTCTTGGCGACCCTACCAGTCTTCAACCGAAACCCACAGACCGCCTCCTGCCCTGTGCGCTAGAAGTACAGAAAATGCGGGTCAGCTTTTGCGGGTGACGTCACACCCTCTTAGGTAAGCCGATGGATGAAACGCCGTTTCTGGTGTGAAAGGTTGAGAGCCAAACCGACCCGATAGGAACTGGGCCAACAAACAATGGGCTTTTGGTATCAAAGGAGCTTCTGGAAGGAAATACGATAGGAGTTAGGAGATTTCGCGCGACGGGGGAACGGGTAAGTGATCCCGTTGCGTTTGGCCGGATGGACATCCTTATCGATCAAACACGAGGCGCGAAATGGCGAAGCGCTAGACAGGAAGGACTCCGCAATCTGCCCGCAAGGGAAACCAACCGAGCGGGGGACCCACCTCACTCCCGGCGATTCGGGGCCCCGCGTTTTTGTGTGTGTGTGAGTGTGTGTGTGTGATGGAGACGACCCCGGCAGTGTGGGAGGGTCCGGAGATGCGGGTGACTATTATCAAAAGGGTCCACTGTCGAGGTTCTGAATAAGAGATTTGAGGAAGGTTTATAATTGAGGGTGTTCTAGTGGCTGTGTGGGAGATATCCACTGGCCGGTTTGATAGTTGTAGCGTGGTGGTCGTGGGTAGTTGAGTCTTGTGTTGGTGGGGTTGCATGTGCCAGAGGAGGAAGACGTCCACATCGAAAGTGCTGATCAGCAGAGGGGGAGCTCGCTGCTCAATGGGTTGTCGTCAAACATCTGAAGATGAGAAAGGAGGGGTAAACGCCATGGCAGTCGGCAGGAACAGGAACCATTCATCTTCAAATGGTGGTGTCCTCCTGCCTGCCGACCTTCCCATTCTTCCCCTCTTCTGCCCTCCATCTCGAGGGAGAGCTGTTGTCCTACCAGCTCCCGGTTCCCCAAATCGGGCATTCAGTGTATGTATACTCTTTTTTGATTCCACAAACTTTCTCATCCGGATGAGATGGGAGTTTGTGTAAGCTCCGATGAATGGAATGACGTTGGGGAGTCCGATGACGGGGGCGTATCAGATTGATATCAACCACCACAAAATATTTGATACGAACAGAAGAGATATCTAGAGACGGGTGCTGCCATATGTACCAGATAAATACCGAGAAACCCCGCTCTTGAATATAATGGTGGACGCGAATGCACACTCTCTCACAAGCCAGCTAGCCAGCCTGTGAGAAAGGCACGGCATCAGGATATGGTCACCTCGAAACGGGCCCAAGCACCGCGTCAGAAGAGAGGTCACAGATATCACAGTCTTTTTTTCTTTCCATACAGAACGTGTGTACCTGAGGCAATGAATAATGGAAAGGTACCTGGTGCCAAAGTTTAAATTTGAGATATAGGTCGACCAGGAAGCCACCGTCAAACACAAAACCCAAGGACCCCCTCACTTACACTGACTGGCAAGAAGCTCCTCCTCCCCTTCACTGACACAAGCACATCTGGACCGCCGCCGACGGGAGGGACGCCTTGTTGCAGCCCAGACAGGCCACACCACACCACACACCGTTTACTTTCCGTCGTCGCTGCTGCTGCCATTTCATTCCATAAATACAAATTGCGACCGACCGACCGACCTACCAGCGGGAACCGGCCATATCTTTTTCTTTTTTAAAAAGCTCGACTGAATCCCCCCCCCCTCAGCCCGCAGCATCCCCCCATCCTTTGTTCTTGACTCCTTTTTGCCCGAACACGACAAAACAAGGAGAACACATACACACACAACTCCCAGGTCAAACTTCAATTTTTGACTATCCTAAGAAACTTGGCCTCCTTTTATCCTATCAATTGCTACACACATTAGAAACTCTTGACCCCCCATTTCCATTTCACCGCGACGTGTGCGGTCTCCTTGGCCACGGCATTCCCGGTTATCCCAACAAAAGAAAACCCCATCATCCTAACCACCAAGTCCGTACGGCCGGCGTCCCGTTTCTGGAGTGCACACACGCGACGACCCCGCCGCTTCTACCTTAGCTCCCATTCTAGTACCTAACACTACGAGCTTGTTGTACCTCTGCTACCCTAGCTTCGCAGCTGTCACAAGACGAACCGAGCTACCATCAGACCGAAAGCTTCTGCTTTCTTGTTGTCACGGGACTTTCTAGCGACCGAAGATCACAACGTTCTGTTTTTCTAGGGGAATTATACCGATACTTACTGTACCTTTCATCTCCAGGTAGGTTATTGCTTTCTTCACATGGCATCTTGTACAAGACTGGTTGGGACCCTGGGATATATTGCCGACCCCTACTCCCGCACTTACACATGGGATCGAGCTCCACCAAACCCGCGGCCCCGAGACGGCTCTAAAGTTTCCCGGGGCTTGATGCCGGACAGTCCCCCCTTCGTTTTCCGAGACTTTGGCCAACTTGAACCAAACAAAGTGACGAAAAGCCCGCGACCGCAAGCCCGCGACCGCACGCCCACCACGCCGAGCGCTTGTTGCCGACCAAAACCGGGGGCAGGGGGGGCCCCGCTCCCCTTCTTGGCGCCGTCAACAACTCACTGGAACCAAAACCACCATGACGGCACTGACGTCGGCTGGTCACCCCCCCTTCCCCCCATGCGTCCGGGGGACGAGTTGATTGCCGGATTCTTGCCCGGGTGGATTTTCTGCACATCTTACCAAAAAGAAGAACAAACCAGGTCGGCTAACTTGATGTGTGTGAAGAGTGTGTTGTTGTGCTTCGCGCTTTGAAAGGACTGCCTATTCGACCGTGTACGTTTACCGAATCGCGAGCTGCTTGCTCTACCACTTGCTTTGTGATATAATAAGTTGGGGTAAAAGGTTTCAACTTGGAAAGCAAAAACAAGAGCTGGTCAGCAACCCTTTTTTTCTCCTCCCCTTTCCTCAACCACTCCCTCCCCATTGTTTTGGTTTATATTTGCCTGTTGTTGGTCTTTTTGTCGTTTTTGAATACAACAACGCCGGCCGCCCGTCATGTCCTCATTCAAGCAAGAAGCTGAAGTTGGTCGGACTAGGGGACCCGAAGCAATGGGATCAATGAAGAACGACAACCTCCCCGCCGCCAGCGATTTCCTCCACACGCCCCTCGTCCGGGCGGCGCTTCCTTTTATCAATGGCGGCCTCAGCGGGATGGTTGCCACGACGGTGATTCAGCCCGTCGACATGATCAAGGTGCGCATCCAGCTTGCGGGCGAGGGTGTGGCTGGTGGACCGAAGCCGACGCCCATCTCGGTGACTCGCGACATCTTGGCCAGCGGAAAGGCGCTCGATTTGTATACCGGGCTCTCGGCCGGTCTGCTCAGACAGGCCGTGTACACGACCGCCCGCATTGGGTTTTTCGACACCTTTATGGGCAGCCTGTCGGCCCGGGCCAAGGCGAACGGAAAGCAGGTTGGCTTTTCGGAGCGTGCCACTGCTGGTTTGTCGGCCGGTGGTCTGGCTGCCATGCTGGGCAACCCGGCCGATCTGGCGTTGATCCGCATGCAGAGTGATGGGTTGAAGCCGGTGGCCGAAAGGAAGAATTACAAGTCTGTGATTGATGCCCTCACTTCGATTGCGAAGAGCGAGGGCGTTGGTGCTCTTTGGGCCGGTGCGGCTCCGACGGTGGTGCGTGCCATGGCGCTCAACTTTGGGCAGCTGGCTTTCTTCAGCGAGGCCAAGGCGCAGCTGAAGCAGCGGACGCAGTGGTCGGCCAATGCTCCGAGGGGGCCGGATGGGAAGCTGCCTTACAAGAGCATGGAGGATTGCTTTGGCGAAGGTGGCGAAGCAGGAGGGGGTGATGATTTTTTATAGAGGGTTTGGGACGTATTATGTGAGGATTGCGCCGCATGCGTAAGTGATTTGTCCCTGGGTGAAGATGACGGTCTTTTGAGACGATGCTGACTGGTGTGTTGTATAGGATGGTCACTTTGATTGTGGCTGATTACCTTGGGTGGCTGACCAAATAAGGGGGAGGGTGATGGATGATGGGAGATGGATAATGGGGGATGTGGTTGTGGGTGTTGGATGCGTTGGTTTCCTATAAAATCATTGTCAGGGTGCATCAAGAGTTTTCTTTTTTTGTCTCTGGCGTTGCTTGGAATTTTCATGTTGGTTTTCTTGTTTTGGAGGATATCAGTTTGTTTTTTTGGTTCTTTTTTTTTTCTTTTCCTGTTTTTATACTTAGGTATACCATGGGCCTTGGGTGTGAGTGTGAGAGAGACGAGGCTGTATATAGTTGGTTATTATTCACAATCCGAGATTGAGCTGGTGTATGAAAATTACGAGAGATGTTGTTGGTGATGGGGTATGGTGATGTTTAATATTGGTGATGGTGAGATTGGAGATTGATAGATAGTGCACGGGCCACGTTCCCTTATTCGAGCCAAATTCTTTGCCGGTAAAACATCGGAGTTGATTGGATAAGGAAATGCAGGGACGGGACGTGCACTGGCTTCTTTGATGATCGGGGGCAGGAGGTGCAACTGTGGAGAATCTCCAACCGAGCGAAGCTGCTGCTCCCTCCATGAATAAGTTTGGGTGGTTTTTGTTTCTTTTTTTGCCTGCACATTTCCACGCTCGGATTTGCTTCTTTCTTTCTTTTATGATTTTGGCGGGCTTAAGCATTGATTTGGCAGGCAGTCTTTTATTCTTTTGTTGAGTGACAGTTTTGAAGCAGAAAATGTGAGCTTGAGGGAAAGCAAGCAAGCCAGCAAGCAAGTAAGCAGCAAAGCAAAAAACCTAAGTTATGGATCCAGATTGGAACGAGGTGAGTATTTTTCTTTTTTTTCTCTTTTGTTGTTGCGTGAGAGAGAGAGTGTGTGTGTGTTTGTTGTTGTTGTTGTTGTTGTTGTTGTTGTTGTTGTCTTTTGATATTGAGCTGGGATATGGGTTGAAAGGGAAGAGTGGAGTTGAGTGTGGATGATGCCCCGCCATGAAGTTGTTGCTGGCTGGCTGGCTGGCTGGCTGGCTGGCTGGGGGGGGGGGAGGGAATCACGACTCGACTCTCGCGACCTGCACTTTTAGACGCGACGGGGGAAGAGAATATGTTTGGGGATTGAGAGAGAAAGGGACCAGATGGCTAATTACTTTTCCGACTGGACGCCACAGGTCAGCCGCATCACCTACCCGGTGCCGATGCCGAATGATTTCAGGCATCCCACCACCCATCCGTCGGCGCATCCGCATTCACATCATGGAGGTTTACATCAGGGGGTTGTCGGTCAGGGTTATGGAGGGGGGCCACCGCCGCCGCCGGGGATAGGTGGAGGGGGGATTGTAGGGGGTGTTGGGGTGGTTGGTTTGCAGCCTGCTACGGCGCTGGCGTTTGATCCCCAGGCTGAGTTGTTGTGGGCTGGGGATTGGAAGGTAGGTTTATGCCGGAAGGGAAATAGAGGGGGGAAGAGGCTGACGGCTGGGATAGGGACGGGTGGCTTCTTTTGCGAACCGAGAGCTCCGACGATACACGGCCTTCAAGATTCAGATCGATCCGACCGAGGGCCCAGTACAACAGTTTCTGTTTCACGAAAAGGGGGTGATTGTGCTTGGGAGGAGGGTGGTGCATATGGCTATGAGGAGAGGCCCGGTCCTGTGGAATATACGGCATGAGGGGATGAAGGACTTGCGCTGCATGAGCTTTACGAGCAAAGGGGCGAGCGAGATTCTGGTGGCCGGGTGGCAGGACACCATGTTTGTTATCGACGTGGTCAAGGGAGAGGTCACAAAACAAGTGCCGGCGCCACACCACTACAAAATCATGAAGAGGGGAAGGTATATCTGTGCTGCGACCGAGACGGGGCGGATCGACATTGTGAACCCGACGACGTTCAAGGTGGAGAAGGAGTGGCAGGCGCATCAAAGCTACATCAACGATATGGATGCGTCGGGGGATTATATCGTCACTTGTGGGGGATCATACAAGCAGCAAGGGCCGGGTTCGTCAAGCAGGGTGCCGGATCCTTATGTCAATGTGTATGACTTGAGGAACATGACGTCGATACAACCGATGCCATTCCCTCCCTTGGCCGCATATGTGCGGCTGCATCCGAGGATGCTGACAACGACTATTGTTTCGTCGCAACAGGGGCAGATGCATGTGGTGGATATTATGAATCCAAACACCACGAATATCAGGTATGCGCATCTGCAGGCGTCGATCAACCTGTTCGAGATCGCGTCGTCAGGGAGAGCGCTGGTCATTGCGGACAATGACAGGAATATTGCGCTTTGGGGGTCGCCGTCAGACGGGATACAGTTTACTAACATCGGGGCGCCGATCACGTTTCCTGAACCCGAGGAGCCGGCGCCGCATGTTGACTGGAGTGTTGATGCTCCTTTGAGCACCGTGGGAATGCCATATTACTACGGGACAATGCTGTTCTCTGCCTGGCCGGCCGACATCATCTCAGATGCTGGCGCTCCACCACCACAGGTCGACCCGGCCTTGCTCGCCACCTTGAACAAGACAGAGTTTGGATACTTTGGTCCCAACAAAACAGGTCTTCGACGCAATCAGATCGAAGACACGCGGGCTTCCAAAGCATCCAACAAGTTGCAAGCACCAAAGTTCTTGAGCGAAAGAGCAAGAGATGGCCCGGTGACAGACAGTCATGTTGATCAGGAAACATTGGCCCAAGATGCCGCAGAGAGCCTGAAGCCGGAACCGCCACCCATCTACGGCACACTGGAGATCAAGTACAGCCGGTTTGGCGTTGACGATTTCGACTTTGGCTTCTTCAACAAGACAAAATATGCCGGTCTCGAGAATCAAATCCCGAATTCGTACGCCAATTCTTTGCTGCAGGTCATGAACTACACCCCTCTTATCCGCAACATGGCCCTTCAGCACGTTGCCACCTCGTGCGTCACAGACCTCTGCCTCCTGTGCGAGCTTGGGTTTGTCTTTGACATGCTCCAAAAGGCAGACGGCCTGACGTGTCATGCCACGAATCTTTTCAAAACTATTACTGGTAGAAGCGAATCACAGCCTCTGGACCTTCTCGAAGAAGATCTTCACAGCCACCGGGTATCTTCGACCACGGGCGGAGCTCAGCCAGGTCCTGCCCCCCATACGAGGGTACAGAACTTGTGCAGGTTTCTCATGGACAAGACGACGGTTGAGTACCAGAGCATTCAGCCCATCTCCACCGCGTTGGAGCGGACGCTGTTGAAGCTGCCCGACCCTCCAAGCCCGAAGGAATTGACGTCAAAACTACTAACCACCTCTGCGGTTGTCAGAATCAACTGCACAAACTGCCGGACGGAAACGGCAAGGTCGGGAGATGCTCAAGTCATTGATCTCATTTACCCCCCTCCAAGAACGGCGATTAGGAATGCCAGGGCGCCTCGGACGACGTTCTCCCAGGTGCTCAAGATGGGAGTGGAAAAGGAGCTGGGCACGAAGGGCTGGTGCGGCAACTGCAAGCGGTACCAGAGTTTGCAGCTGCGCAAGACTGTCGAGAGCGTTCCGGCGGTTCTGACCATCAACACTATGATTGTGCAGGAGAACCGCAAGCTCTGGGCCACGCCGGGGTGGCTACCGGAGGAAATCGGCGTCATAGTGAGCGGCGGGCAGTTTTTCTGCTACGAAGGCGAGGACCTGAGAGTTCACTTGCAACGGGGCGCGCACGAGATCACGGTGTACTCGCTGATGGGCATGGTGGTGAACATTGAGCACCCGCCACCGCAGAAGCCGCACCTGGTAGCCATGGTCAACGTGGCGCACTCGGAGCCGACAGCGCCGGCGGAGAGCAAGTGGCACTTGTTCAATGACTTTTCCGTCAGGAGGGTGTCGAGCGCCGAGGCGCTGACGTTCAACGCGGCGTGGAAGCTGCCGAGCGTGTTGATGTACCAGATCAAGCAGGCGAACAACAAGAGCAACATGGAGTGGAAGACGAGGCTGGACACGTCGATTCTGTACAAGGACCTCGGGCCGCCGCCGCCGCCGCAGCAGCAGCAGCAGCATTCGGACGAGAAAAAGACGTACCGGCTGCTGGACGAGGCGACGGAGAGGCCGGGGCCGGGGACGATTGTGGGGTTGGACACGGAGTATGTCTCGCTGAAGGACCAGGAGATCCAGATCAACTCCAACGGGGAGAAGGAGATGCTTCGGCCGATGTGGCTGGCGCTGGGTCGGGTGAGCGTGATCAGGGCGCGGGGGGAGAGGGAGGGGGAGGCGTTTATTGACGACTGGATCACCATCAGGGAGCCGGTGCACGATTATTTGACACAGTACTCTGGCATCACGGCCGGGGATCTGGACAGCAGGACGAGCAAGCACACGCTTGTGACGCTCAAGACGGCGTACAGGAAGATTTGGACGTTGCTGAACCTGGGGGTGACGTTCCTGGGGCATGGGTTGAGGCAGGATTTCAGGGTGATGAATATCCATGTGCCGAGGGCGCAGGTGATTGACACGGCCGTCATCTATCACTTGTCGGCCTGGAGGAGGGTGCTGAGCCTGAGTGTGCTGTCGAGGGTGGTGCTGAAGCAGAAGATTCAGCAGGGGCAGCATGATTCTGTGGAGGATGCGCAGGCTGCGTTGAGGTTGTATAAAAAGTATCAGGAGTACGTGGATGCCGGGTTGTGGGAGAGGGAGATTGAGCAGATTTACTTGAGGTGTAAGGCTATCGGGTTCAATGCCAAGTTTGAAGGGTCGGGGGATGGTATCATGGGAGGGGGAGGGATGGTGAAGAGGACGGATACGCCTCCTGTTGGGGGGGCTGTTGGGGCGGCGGATGGGGTGGCTGGGCCGACGACGCCTGTCCGTAAGGCGGCGGTGTTGGGGACGGCGGGGAGTGTTGGGATGGTGGGTTCGGGAGGGTTCGGGAGTGGTGGTGGTGGTGGTGGTGGTGGTACTTTTACGCCTACGAAGGAGGGCAGTACTGGGTCGCCTAGGAGATAGGCGACACTGGGCGATGAAGGGAAGGAGGGAGAGGCGGGTGGTCCGGAGGAGGAGAAGAGCGGTCCGGAGGTGGAGGAGAGCGGTCCGAAGGAGGAGGAGAACGCTTCAGAGGAGGAGGAGAGCGGTCCGGAGGAGGAGAGCGGTCCGGAGGAGGAGGAGAGCGGTGTTGGAAATCTGTATAGGGGGGTGAGGATACGGAGACGGAGGGAGAGCACTCTTGGGAGTGGGTTCTCTGACGATGATTACAGGCGAGTGAGGATACTGAGACGGAGGACGAATGCTCTTCAAAGCGGGTTGTCTTCTGATGGTTCAGAGGTTGGAGTAGATTGGGCGACAGTCACAGGTTAGGTAGACGAGCGAGTTGAATTGATGTAAGCGTTTGTGCATTAAACTCGGAGGGTTAGTCTGCGTGACTGTGTAGTGGTTGAGATCCGATATGGCTGTGAATTGCATCTCTCCTTTCATTCACGCGAACCTATGGTTGCATTTTCAATCAGATGGCCTATGACATCTGATAGGTCAACGGCATCTGCTGCAGGTGATGGGCAAGGGGAGAAGTATGAGATCTGATTCGCTGGGAATTCAAGACGGTTTAATTTGGAGGTGAAGGCTGGGGTGGCTTCTGCGGTAAGACGTTTTGGAAATTTATTAAAGGTCATCTTTCCTTTTCAAAATGAGCTCTCGAGCTCGTGATGGGGGTTTTCGGTTGACATCAACGCATATTTTCACGTCGTGCCAGCATTGCCATTGTTGATACGGCGCAGCAAAAGAAGTCACATAACCTTTCACCAACTCAACGTCAAAATGGCATGGAACCACACCTCCACCGTGACGGCCTCGTCTCTACAGGTCCCCTTTTTAGGGAATCTCGTCGAGTCTCTGTCCGTTACTGCTCTTGTCATTTTGTTTACGACCTATGCGATTCTATACTTTGCTCAGACGATTCCACTGTCAAAGAATGAACCGCCCATCATCCCTTCAAGGATCCCATTTCTGGGCCATGTGCTTGGGATGCTGTTTCAGGGGGGCAGATATGTGAAGAATTTGGGGTGAGTGTGGTGTTTTCTAGGTTCTGAGGAAAACGACGAGACTGTGCTATTTTGGCATATGCCTCGCAAGATTGC